TCTTTTGGATCTTCTTGCTCAAGCTTAAATAGGGCAATCTGCATCTTAATATAAAGAATTGGCTCCTCTATCCGTATCTCTTTAGTATTATGAAGTTTCTCTGTCACTCCTTCAAGGAAGCCTATAGCGGCTTCTTTCTCGGGGTATTGCCGAGAAACAATGACCGCAAAATGTGCAAGCTTGAGAAGATTCATCTTTGTCTCAAAATCAGTGATGAAGTTGTGATACAATTGTATTAGTCCGTCACCAGCCTAAAATAAAGAGAAGAGAGGTGTTATATGCAAACAAAGCATAATACAACAACCACTCACTATGGTTTACCGATTTACCATACCACAAAATACCGAACCATTCCGAATTAATTGGGTATAATAATGGTATAATATTTAATTGTGGAGAATAAACCCCTTGAAACAAGATTTAATATTGAATGATTTTAGTTATATCAGCTCCACCTCAATTTAAATCATTAATACAGGACTAGGATAAACGATACACATTTAGATGATTGAGAATTTCTCTTGGGGGTTATGTAATTGAGATGATTCGAAATAATAATTTTTAAAAAGCCTTAACATCCTGGATAATTTGTCTGCTCATTTTGCCACCAAGTTCTGAATCAGGGTCCTAATAGTATTCCTATGCCAATACAGATGCATTGCATGATTAGGCATTTATCAACAGTTCCATGATAATTCATGCTACCTGTGACTACCAAACCGTATAAACCAACAAACACATGCAAATAAGAGTAAGATCTTTTTTTAAACAAATGTTAGTAGTGTACATTTCTCTGAATATATAAACCATGGAATTTGCACTGTATACAAAGAGAGTATTTTTGCTTTTTAAAATGAAGGAGATCAGATACTACATAAGCGTCTTTTAGCATGATACTATACTTCGAATTCTATTGAATCAATTTTTTTTTTGAAGAAGTAACTTGTATTATGAACAAAAGGAATACTCATTCTATTGAATCAATTTTCCTGGGTCCATAATCCAAAGGAGTGTTTAGAGGACGTCTTGAATGGATTTGCATTAAGCTGAGTTTACCTCATAATGTATTTGGATTATAGATACAAGAAAAGAAAAAAAAAACTCATTTTCCTTCCATTAGCACCAGGTAGGGTGCTGTGAAATACAATATGTTGAAATTTCTCTCCATCATCAACTACGGTTATCTTCAAGAAAATTCTCTAAGAAAAAGATAATTCAGTATCTGCAATGAAAGTTCCCTTGAAGACACCCTCATACAATGACAAAGTGAATTTCACAAATTCATTTTACAACACTACTTCCCTATCAAGATATTAGTGAATTCTTTTTTTCCATATCAAAATTTAGAAGAGTGTAAATATTGTTGTTGTTGTAATATTTAGAAGATTAAACCTTCCCCTCTGTCGCGAGTTCAATTCCAAAAAAGACAAAAATACTATGTAATTTCTTCTCATCTATATCCAAGCTTAGTGGACAAAGTTACCCGGTACTTGTGTTGGTGGGAGGTAGCAGATATCCCGTGAAATAAGTCGAGGTGTGCAAAACAAGTTCAGACACTACGCTTATTAAAAAAGATATTTAAAAGATTAGATCGTCTGAGTCAATCTCAGGGCTTTCAAATACCAAACATAGTATAAAATGGCTTGGCATGGGAAGGTCCTCTTTCATGGGTGTTGTATTGTACTATTCGCATGTTTCCCAATATGCAAATTTCAGCTATGGAGAGGTCCTATACGTGAGGAACACATTCAACTCCCCCCCACCCCACCCCATTTTCCCCCATCCCCCCAAACAACTTGAACAATATACAACTATTAATGAAGCACCACTCAAGTTACTATCAGCTGATACATTATTTTTGCAGTATCCACCATGCTACTATAGTTTAATTAGAAATTGTAACCATGACACCTGAAGGCTTGCACGCACTAATCTATTGGCAGTCTGCTATAGCCAACAAGAGAAAGTGCAGGGTAAACCTGTCCACAAAGACTGGAGGAAATTGGCCCACACTAGATGTTATAGTTTGATTATTATTTCTACTATAACCCAATTCAAAACATTCTGCTTCAGTTGAACTATCCATCAACCAAAAACAAACAACTCCTGATTTTTATACATTTTGTTCTGTTCCTTGCCAGGAACCCCCAATGTTATATGTTTTTTAATAACCGTTATGTCCAGGCCAGCTTACGCATACTTCAACTAATTCCACTGAAAATGCGCCACCTCCCAGCCTCCCTCCATCAACAGGTACCAGGTAACTCGTCCACCAAAGCTAGAATAAATTACCCAGTGTTTTTGTCTCTACTTAGATTTGAACTAGAAACCTCATGGTGCTCAACCTACTTCACTGACCATTAGGTCACACCCTTGGGTACGAAGCCCCAATTTTTTCTAACCCTTCCAAAAGCAATAGAATAGTTCTAAGCTCAAACAACCCCCAATTCTTACCCATCCCAAAATCAAATCGTATAAGTAAATCTCTAACACAATTCCTCTACTAAACCCTAACTTATACCCACCTAAACCCATAACATGGGAGAATCTAATTAGCTCAGCTGGTTGACAACTACTTAACCTTTCACCTTGTTTGGGGAGGGTTCTAGGCCCAAACAATCCCCAATTCTCACTCATTCCAAACCAAATCCTATAAGTAAATCTCTAGCACAAATCCTCCACTAAACCTAACTTATACCCACCTAAACCCGTAGCATAGAAGAATCTTAGTAGCTCAGTTAGTTGATTACTATCTAAACTTTCACCTTGTTTCTAGGCCCAAACAACCACCAATTCTTACCCGTCCCAAACCAAATCCTATAAGTACAATCTTCCCATAAACCCTAACTCATAGCCACATATACCCATAGCATAGGAGAATCTTCGCAGCTCAGTTGGTTGACATATTAACTGAACTTTCACCTTGTTTAGTGAGCACTCAATTCCTCACCTTACAATCATCTCCACTTTACAAAAAAGACAAAAAAAAAAAAACATAGCATGCACACACACACAAATAAAGTCCAAATACAACAAAAAACCAAACGAAATTCGCAGGAATTAAATCGAATTCAATGAGAACCTGAAAAACGGGAAGAGCAACAAACTGTTCAAGCTTAAGAGTAAGCTGATGCCAGAGCTTCCTCTGGTACAGATCTGCCAAAGTAGTGTACCAATCGGAAAGCTGTGAATGAGCATTGCAAAACGATTCCAAGTACTGAAGTGCCGCCATGGCTGAAAAAGCTCTCTCAGTAACACCGATGAAGACGAAGCAGCTACTGTGTGTGTATGTGAAAGAGAGAGATTCCTGACTTGTAAATTGTGTTTTGCTTGTTCATAAAGAAATGAATAATGGAGTTTGGGTTAGTTCAGTTTAGTCTCTATTGTATTACATTGGACCTCTATAATCCTTCAAGTTTACAAAAATTAATTGTTTTTGGTCCAATATACAACGTTCGGATTGAATATGAAAATTTTGATTTAGAAAATAAAGAAATCATAATTCAAATATAATCAAAATAACAATCTCAATTTTAACTTTTGAATCCTTAAGGTTAGACCATAAAAATTAACAATCTCAATTTATCTACCATTCATGTTGTGTATTAAGTGTTACTTATTCATAAAACTTGTTTATTTTTATCTAATTAGTAGTGATAAAAATATATGAGGTTAGAGACTATTATATAATTATTTAATGTTAATCAATAAAATCATATAATATAATGGATAGTATGAACATTGAATATTTAGAAATTAGACTTATTAATATTTGACATATATAATATGAAAATATAAAACTTGTTTATTTTTATCTAATTAATAGTGATAAAAATATATGAGGTTAGAGACTATTATATAATTATTTAATGTTAATCAATAAAATCATATAATATAATGGATAGTATGAACATTGAATATTTAGAAATTAGACTTATTAATATTTGACATATATAATATGAAAATAGAACTAAATATCACACTTACGAATGGTTGTTTCTTTAGGGGGCTAATTTCCAAAGGGCCTAGAATATGGAGGGCTCTTTCGCGATGTAAGAAGATAGATTTTTTTGCATCACAATGATAAAGCAAATACCATATCAAAGTTGACTATATTAAAGCACAGAAAATTTTAGGATTTAAAACTTATGTATATTAATAATAATTTTAAATTAATATTCTAATAATAACTGAGTTTATAATTAGTATTTATAAATTTTGTAATATATATAGGATTTGAGCAAAAAGTTATTAAATTTACATGAATCTGTAATCGAATTCTAAATTATGTTTTCATGCATAGGAAATAAAGAATCTATTGAAACCTTTTTTTTCCTACGACTTAACGCTCTTCCCTGATCTTAGAAGTCCAAAGACGAAGTCAGGAATTTCACTTAGATCATACAAAATTATATCTATAAGAAACAGTTTTTAAGCTATATACACAATATTATTATTTTTAACACAATCTAATTTTGCAATAAAAAGTGATCAATGTATAATTAACTAAGGATATTCAATTTACTATTCTTTAAGTTTATAACTATATATATATATATATATATATAGGGATAATTGTACAGAATGACAAACTTATAATCTAAAATAAATGAAGTAGCAATTGTTCGTTTTATACAACAGAATTGTATAAATTGTGTTTCTGTTTGTATAAAGCGAGAGAAAATTGTATATACACATGCAAATACATATATATTCGTCCTATACACTTATAATTATACAATAAAAATATTCCCCTGCCCAGTTTTATGACATTCAATCTGAAATCTACAATAGTATGGTTATAACTTTCTCGCTCACCACTCTCCATTTCTCGCTCGCTCCCTCTGTGCTCGCCTCTCTCGCTTTATACAACAGAAGTGTATAAATTGCGTTTCTGTTTGTATAAAGTGAGAGAAAATTGTATATACACATGCAAATACATATATATTCGTCTTATACACTTATAATTATACAATACAAGACACCAGTTCATCTTGTGGATGATATTACAGAGGAAACTTTCCACTGTAGATAGAGTCTTGAAATGGGGTATACAAGCGGATGCAAACTGTGTTCTATGCAATACTGGTCATATAGAGAACTTTGATCACCTATTTTATGCTTGTCCTTACTCCTCATATGTATGGAAAGCAATGCTGAAATGGTTAGGCTATCACAGACAAGTAGGCAGTTGGGAATATGAAGTCAAATGGATGATCAGCAGGGTCAAGAATAGTAGACCAAGAGCTGGAATTTTGGGATTCTGTTTTGCAGCAATTATATACAACATTTGGATGGAAAGAAACAATCAGAGGTTTAATGCCAAGAAGGGAAGCACAGCACAGAGACTGAAGGAAATAACTGTACAGGTACATATTGAAGGACAAAGGCACTGCAAATGGAAGCCTCATTTAGATCAACTGATAGGATATCCTAATTAGATGCTCTTTCATTTATAGTTGGTAGCTTTCTTTTTGCATTAACTCAATTGTGTCACAAGTGACTATGAGAGCTAGCTCTAAGTCCAAAAAGAGTTAGTTGGTTTGTATGGAGAATTTTGGTTGAATGGAAAATGTTACCGGTTGACCAAAAAAAATTATACAATACAAATATTCCCCTGCCCAGTTTTCTTTTGTCTTTCTCTCTTTCTCATTTTTTATACAAACACAGATTATACAAATATAATGTATAATTTATGTTTGTATAAAGCGAAAGAGAGAGCAATTTTTGATATACAAATATTTTTTGTCAACTATTTATACAAACGAGAGGCTAACAACAATTTATACAAATGACCTGCCAGCGAAATTATACAAATCTGAAGAGGAGTCAACGAATTATACAATTGCTTCTTTTTGTATATATGTATAGCGAAATAGACATAGCTTTCAATTGTATATGTATAGCGAATTATACATATATATATTTGCTATGGAGCACAATTATGCAAACTTTTCTATAGCGTACAAATATGATTTTTTTGTTTGCTATATGTGAAAGTTGTTCTACTAATTAAAACTTAAACTCAAAATATCTAATTAAGATTGAAGGATACTCATCACTCACGTCACCGGCTTTATAATAGTTGACTTAGAATGGAGAGTTTGACTCTGAGTCAGAGAATTTGACGAGTCTACTTATGTTTCGTGGGTGCTAGCTTAAATAGTTTCTAGAGTTATATATCCTTAAAGTATCACAAGTGAATTATATACTATGGAGACTATATAAATACTTTTATTTTATTTTTACACGTGACTTTTTTAGTATTGTATTTTTTTCTCAATACTTGTTGGTATTATGCTTAACTTGAGTCGAAAGTTTAGTAGAAATAATTGTTTTACCCTCACAAGGTAAAAATAAGGTTGTGTACTTGTGTATACACTATCTTTCCCAAATTACTTCACTTGTGGTTTCCGCATTGAGTATGTTGCTGTTTATTGTTGATTATGATGATTATATAGAGCAGGATCATATTACATACTTGACTCAATTGCACACATATACTATTGATTGTTTTACTTGAATGCCTTAAAGAAATATCGTAAATGCTTATCCTCTTGATGTTGTCGGAATTAACAGTAATAAGATATTGACTTGATAACAATTACATCACAAAATTTACAAAATTCAGAATTGTAAGCTCTTGATCGGAACTTTCTTTGGTTCCCAACTTACTAGAAGTGGAAACTTTTTTTGTCTTTTGATTTATTGGAAATTTACTAGTTCGACAAATTCAAATTCACATTTTGTAGAGCTGACTAAAGGGAATGGAAGAGCTGTCCATCAAGACTTTGATCATTTCATAAGACTCTGATTAAAGATTGACATTAAAATCATCCAAATTCCACAAGCCAATATCCCACATGATGTCTTCATCATTAGATGAGGCCTCAGGCACTGGCACATAATTAGCATATCCATTAATCATAGAATAGAAGAAACCACCTTGCTCTTGTTCATGAAATGTGTTGTTTTGGTACAAAATGGTCATGTCTTCTTGCTTTGGTACATGACTTGGAACTTTATTCTCATTTTCCTCAAAAAGTGACATGATCTTTTTCATGTCGATTTGACTATTCAGTAGTTGTTGTTGTTGAAACTGTTTTCTTTTTAAAAAATGGACTTTTGTTTTTTCAGAATTTTCAGTACTTGATTTCTTGAACTTCTTTTTGAAATTAGTCCTCCAATAGTTTTTAATTTCGTTGTCAGTTCTCCCTGGCAAGCTTCTAGCAATTGTTGACCATCTACAATTTTATTATTTTTATCGTGTTAGTATTATTCAAAATTATTTTGATTCTTTTAAGAATAATCAAGAACTTTTGTGTATATTGAATATTAGAATATAGTACTTCAAATAATTACCTATTCCCCCATATAGCATGAAGTTCAAGAATGATCCTCTCTTCATATGGAGTAATTTGCCCCCTCTTAAGGTCTGGCCTCAAGTAATTCACCCATCTCAATCTACAACTTTTTCCATTTCTTTTCAATCCTGTTTAGACAAAGAAATAGAAAAATTAGATTTTATTTTAATTTTCAGAAACTACACGATTATATAGCCAAAGAAAATAAATCGAGTTATTTCAAGAAATTACACGATCATATAGCCAAAGAAAAATAGGCCGCGTCTAAAATTATATTATTTCAAATACTAGCTCTACCACTAATTAATACAACTATTAGACTTTTTCTTCTTCTAACTCAAAATGAGAAATTTTATGATGAAACTACTCGTATGAAGTCAACTCATAATCGATCAAAGTGAATGAGAAGGAAATGGTACATATTTTTTGAATTCTAATTTGATGTCTGGTATTATAATTGAGGCTCTGATTATTCGAATGAATGAATCTTATTCTTTCCAGCACTCGACTGGATGATAGGTAAAAAAGAGTTAAAATAGAGACAATATAGTAATTACCTGCAAGCCTAGCAACAGAATTCCATCTGCCTTCACCATGCAAATTGACATATTCAATGAGCAATTTGTCTTCTTCAACTGTCCAAGGACCTTTTCTCCATTCTTCTTCAATAATTCCCCACCTTCCCATTTTTTTTATAAATATTGTTAATATTAAAACCTATATATATATAAGAAAGGAAACAATCTATCTAAACTCTTTTTTCCTCAAAATTCTATGACATAATTAGCAAGTTATGTTGCTATTTATATTTGCACTAAAAACTCACTCATTAGTCAATTTTTTTATGACAAATGAGTTATAGCTAAACATGACTCCATTAATTATAGCACTTAGTATAAAATATTATTTGTCCTCATCAATTGTATATATTTCCAAAATAGTTACGTGTACTTGTTATAGTTTACTACTCTTAGAAAATTCAAAGAAGGCATTGAAAGATTTGTTAGGAGAACCAATGGAAGTTGAAACATCACACGTATACAATTTTGAGACAATTTTATTTCATGACTTTTCTACAATAATGACAAACCCTTTAGTTCGATGATTATTTGCATTAAATTAACCCATAAAAAATATTTTTCATTCTTATCTATTCGATGTCCAATATTTATATTGGGTTTAATTTGCATTGGAAGTCTTCTGTTGGGGTAGAGCACTCTCAATGACACTCATATTGGTATCAGACAAAGTTCAGATTCGTGTTGAAAAGTCTAATATTGAGATTAAAGCACTTTCATTAGTACATTGTATTGGGATCAAAATAAATTTGAATTCATGATGAAAAGTCTCAAATTTGAGATTAAGTGCTTCCATTGGTACACATAATGGCAATCAAACTACATTTGGATTCCCGTCGAAAAGTCTCAAAATTTAACGCAAATTGTTTCCACTATAGGACTCGTATTGGAATCAAATTGAATCTGAATTTGCGTTAAAACATCTCATATTAGGAGTGAAACAATTCTATGAAATATGAATACTCGTATTGGAGGTAAAGTGCTCTCACTATTGATACTCGTATTGAGATCATACTTAGTTTGATTTTGCATAAGAAAATCACATATTAGAGGATAAAGCGCTCCCACAAGAACTCTATTGAGGGTAAAACACTTCCACTGAGACTCGTATTAGGATCAGACCAAATCTAAATCTACATCGAAAAATCTCATATATAGGACCAAATAAAGCATTTTCATTGCTACTCATATTGAGGTCAGACTAGATTTAAATTCGTGCTGAAAAGTTCATATCAGGGTAAAGCTCTCTCACCGAAACTCATATTGGGAAGAGACAAAATAATTTTAATCCGAATCGTCATGTCTCGTATTAGGAATAAAGCACTCCTAACAAAAGCGATCTAAGCATAAAATTTTTGATTACAAATAAAGTATTTATCACTTCACCACAATAATTCTCATTGATAACTTATAAAACTTGGCTATTGTTGACTGCCAAGAGATTGGGTGACATGGTAGCATGCATCTTGATCAAAGTCACCAAAGTATATTTTAGTTATAAGGTTTAAACAACACAAAAGTGATTAGGCCACTCAAAAGAGAGGACTAGAAAGGCCACGTATAAGTTATAACCTAGGGTAATGCATCTAGACAACTATATACATACTTAAATAATGTGTTTTGCTACAAATAATTAAGTTAGGAAAATTAGTAAAATAAACTAGTGGATAATTTTCAATGTGAAAGCTACTAGCAATCCAGTAAGAAAGAGGCAAGTGTTTAATTTGCTTACTTCTTAAGGATATTGGTGCACAATAATCACCATCATGTTATAATTAATTATAATTTGTTGGATGCCATTTTGGGTAATGGGGTTCATTAGAATAACAATATTTTTCACTAATTATATTAGCTGAAGTAACAGGTGTATTGTTCATGTCATGATTTTGGAAGTATACATAAAAGCCTAGATTCTTGCTTTTCTTAGTTATATATGTATTTTTTGTACTTCTATTTTTGAAATATATAAGTTATATTAATACAACTAATATATATGGATAGAAGTGGAAACACATGAATAGAAGTGGAAATAAAGTAAATGAACACAATTTCCTCCATTTTTATTCTTTATATATCCTTAAGGGGTGCTCATGGTTCGATTTAAATTAATTATTAATTAAAATTAAAACCAAATCAATTTTATTAATTTTTAAATTTCTTGAATCAAACCAAACCAATACATTGATTTAGTTATTGTCGATTTGATACAATTTGATTTGGATTTTTTGATTTTTTATTTATTTATTGAAGGCATACGCATCTCGATAGAGACAAACACCTAATACATAAACAAAACAATTCACAGAAAAATTGTTGTAGATTCTATATAAGCTATGTAGATCCTATATAAGCTAGCAATATTATAATTATTAAGAGTTATTATTATATGAACATAATAATTTAGTTAAGCAATACTAAAATCATTGTACACTAAAATTTTAGAATTTGAAAAAATGATAAGAGTTAAAAGACTTAAATTACTTAAAATATAACAAAATACCATATTTTATTTATAGATAATAATATACATATAAATAAATAAATAATTATAAAATAATTAAAATGCAGATTTTAAAAAAAAAAAAACCAAAACCAATACAAATAATATTATTTTAATCAATTTGGTTCAAATTGAATTTAATTTGATTTCTTGATTATAACCATAAACCGCCCTACTTGTATGCACCCCTATCTTTTCTATATTTGGCCTTGGTTTCAAGGAACAAACACGCAATTCAATCGATACGGGTTATTCATTGCGCAAGCTTAGCAACCAAATTTTAAAGAGAAAAATGACAAATATACTCTCATAACTATCGTAAATGGTATGCAGACACCATCCGTCATATTTTTGGGACATTAATGCCCCTACCATTCAAAAACTAAACCATATATGCCAATTCACTCTAACGGAAGACTAAATAGGGACACATGGCGCAATCTTATCCGTTGATCCAATATTTAATAAATATCAAATTGATGGATAAGATTGTGACACGTAAATATCGAATCGATGGATAAGATTGTGATACGTAAATGCCTTTAACGACACGTGGCACAATCTTATCCGTTGATCCAATATTTAATAAATATCAAATTGATGGATAAGATTGTGACACGTAAATATCGAATCGATGGATAAGATTGTGATACGTAATGCCTTTAACGACACGTGGCACAATCTTATCCGTTGATCCAATATTTAATAAATATACAAATTGATGGATAAGATTGTGACACGTAAATATCGAATCGATGGATAAGATTGTGATACGTAAATGCCTTTTAACGACACGTGGCACAATCTTATCCGTTGATCCAATATTTAATAAATGTCGAATCGATGGATAAAATTATGACACGTAAATACCCATTAGTATAAAAGATATATATGCTTTAATTTTTGAACGACAGAAGCACCAATAAATTAAAATGACAGAGACACCAATATCTCAAAAGTATGAGAGAAAATATCTTCATGCCATTTACGATAGTTCGAAGGTATAATATTTGTCATTTGTAACTATAGCTCGTAATAGGCAACCAAACTATAATCATTTCCAAAATTTAGTAAAGCCCAAAAACTCATTTCTAGTCCTACGAACATACACAACTTAATTTAAACATTCCACTTAAGACCCACACAAGAACATATTTACAGTCCAAAACTCCCATCTCTTAAATAAGTCTACTTTCACATTACTGATTACACCGCTGTTGTTGGTACCCCTACACCCTTTTCTCCCACCGGAGGTACTCCGCCGGAGCCATATTCCGGCTCTCGGTAACCGGGACCGTAACGGCTGCTGAACATTCCGGCATGAAGCATGAGAACATAGAGGAGTTGTGTAAATGCTAGAACTATAGTGAATCCTTCAAGGACTCTAAGCCTCCATCCTCTCCACCCTCCTATATTTATCTCCTTGCATGCCAACCTACATAAATATGTTTCATTAATTAACAAAAAAAATATACACAAATGATTATCAAGTAATTATCGGCTAGTTTCTCTATTCCAATTTATGTAACACATTAAAAATCGAGCAATAATTTTACTTAAAAAACACATCACGATTTTACGAGATGATTAAATGCAACCAAAGGCAGACCCACCTTGATGGGTGGGTTGCACGTGCAACCGTTATATAACTTCAAAAAAAATCAAAGTACGTATGTATATCTATACTAAGAAACTGACAAAAACTACAATATAATTAACAGTGCACTCATGGGCATAAGTGTTCTTGAGTTGCGGAACAAGGTAGAGGAACCACCTGTGAGACCAGGGTTCAAATTCATCTAGAGTGTTATTTCATTATTTTTATTTTAAATTTATCTTAGATAAAGTCACGTTTCGCTTCTTAAAAATCATATCTAATTTTCAAAGGTAAATTAAATAAGATTAAGTGGATAATTTTAAATTTAAATTAAAATATTAAAAAACCATAAAAAAATACATCTCTTTCTTAAATCAATGCAATGAAAAAAAATCTATATTTTAGAACATTGATCAATTTCATAAACTTGACATAGTTCAAAAAAAAAATCTTTTTCCCTAAATTTCGATATTTAATCGATCGATGCAACATAAATTGAGACAGAGTACAGAGAAAATAGTGTTTACCCAAAAGCTAGTGCAGTGACAGCCCAAGCAACAATAGCTGAGGAACCAGCAGCAGCAAGACTATCATTTCTCCATGCCCTCAAATGATTTCCACCCAAAACCTTCGATATTATTCCCAAAACCGCCGCTAGTATCGCAAATACTAGAAAGAACATCGTAGCTCCATTTCCACCAAAACCTAAAAAAAAATTAAAAAAATACATACATAATCAAGAAAATGAACTACACTTTTTATTCATTTAATTTTGAGATAGCAAGTAAAAACACTCTCTAAAATGTTTCAATTATTTGAGCTTCACACCTGAACTATGAAATGTACAAGTTTCATACTTCAACTATCAATTACTATCAATTATTCGTTGAACAATGATGATATTTAAGTTAGGAAAAATGATTAAAAAAAAAACTAACACACGTCAGAGTGATAATTGAGATATGAAACTAAAAAAATGAAATATTTAGAAGAGAGAAAGGAAGTTACTAGGATGATTAGTTTGGCCATTAATGTACTTATTGAGACACCAACTAGCAAAACCCAACACAATTAAATACATTATTAAGTTTAGAAACAATAATGGAGTTGCAACACTCCTAGCTACTGTCCTAGCCATTTTTTCTTTCACCAAAATTCTCTTTGCTTCCACAGAATTTCAGAAAATGGACACAACAATTAAAACAGAAACTTTAATCTATTATTTTTGGGGGTTAATTTTTTTATAAATAAAAGGATAAAAATGCAAAGGTGGTGCAACGTAACGTATATAAGACAATTATACTATGGTATGTGTCATGTTTAATTGCTTAAATGTTGAACGGGTGGAAGGACACGTGTCAGTACTTGTCCACTTTGGATTCTCTAATATTATTGATCATGCATGCAATGTCTATCAACTAGCTAGAAATCAATTGAGTATTTATAATGATTAATAAATTGTATAAGTGAAATTTGGAAAGAGTACGATATACATAGATTCATGACCTTATTCTTATTTTTGAAAAGGTAGAAACAGAGGGGTATTCAAGATTTTGGAGTGATAGTTGCACTATTATAAAAAGGTGGATCTAATTGGTTTGACATTTAGGTTCGTATCATTGAAAACATATAAAATTTTAAATTTATAAGTTCAAAATTAAAATGCTTAATTAATTAAAATGCCAAAAATGCTACCAATAATCACTTAGAGAGGTGGTACCTAATTTTAGAAAGAAAAAAAATAAAAGATAGATATAAAATTCAAATTTCTAATCTCAATCATCATAGCATTATATAATATTTCGATTGTGGGTTCACATATCTATATTTAACAAAAAAAATTAAAAATATAACACTACTATATATGATTTCATGAGGGGAGCATGGGTTCACGTGAATCCAGTGACCCCATCCTGCATACACCTCTGGGTAGAAAGGTTGTTAAAACAAATAATGACAGAAATTAAATATAAAGATAACGAAATTAAATCAATAAGAATAACACTAATATTCTAAGAAATGGAATGAAATATGTCCGATTGCTTACTAATATTCTATTCTAATCTCCGATCTTCACATTCTCTCCTATCATGGATTGTATGGTCCTTGGTGAGCTGAAATTCTGCATCTTTTCTAATCATCTTATCCCAATACTTTTTAGGTCTACTTCTACCCTTCCTCATGCCTATATACTTACCCCTTACACTTCTTAACTAAATAATCTATTGTATATCTCTCAATCTCATTTTTCGTATCTTTAATCTTCATGGGAGTCACTCCCTACATAATCTTGAAAATTTTCATTTATATTTTATATCTAGATTCTTGGTATGCATATCGATATCCACCTCAACATTCTTATCTCCGTCATTCACATTTTCTTAACATAGTTCTTGAACAAAACAATATCACTCTGTCCTATATAACACAATTTATCTCATCATCACTCTATAGAATTTAACTTTAATTTTACGTAGCATATACTTTAGGGTAAATTACGCAAAAAGGCAAACATATATGAGTTAAAGCTAATATAGCTATAGTTTGAATTAATTACAGTTCGCAGCTTAATTTTAGCTTTAATTATATATGTCACTTGTCCTCTTTTATACATATACAAATACAAATTATACGCGCGCGCGCGCGCACACACACACACACACACACATATATATATATATATATATATATATATATATATATATATATATACACAATTACATGACATATATACAAATAATACAATTAGCCTCTCTCCTCTCTCTGACCTTTTTCACTCGCCTCTTTCCTCGCTCTCCCTATCTCTCTCGCCAGATATACAAATAAATATGTATATAAGTTATATATATATATACAATTCGCCTCTCTCCTCCCTCTCTCAATCTTGCTCGTCAGATATACAAATACATATGTATACCAGTTACATATATACAATTATTTGATAGATATACATATACAATTTGCCTCTCTCCACTCTCTGCCCTCTATCGCTCGCCTCTCTCCTCCCTCTCCCAATCTCGCTCGCCACTCTCCTCCCTATAACATGTAGCTACGAATAGTAATTAACAAACTATAGCTATGAAGGGTAATTAAGCTATTTCTGAGTGGCTATATGCGAAAGTTCCCCTATTCTTAATTATCACATAAAACATCTTTTTAAGTTTCTAACATAGGGTGACTCTTGGAAAAAGCCCATTGGAAATGGGCCAGACTACTGGTGAGTGGCCGGTGACTGGTTATTGGTATGGGCTTGGGCCTTGGGAATAGTCCACAAAATAGCCGATTTTAAGATTGTTATTTAAAGTGTAGCCAATATTTAAAATTTAACAACCTCTCCAATTATCAGAGCTTAACCTCAGATCTTAGAACTGAAATTTAAATGCAGTTCAAACTTTGGAATTCTAAGGTCTGAAGTTAAGGCTCTATCAATTAAATTTTTTGAAAAAATCAACTTAATTGATTTGATATTTTTAGAGGAAAATCGACTCATATCGAATTATGAATATCATAAATAGAGTGGTAAATATTGATCTTTAGCTTCATTATTAACCACATATCTCGGGTTAGTGTTGGAGTGAAGACTTGAAGTCCCTTTTAGTAAGCAATGTGCGCTTTGCTTACTAAATTATGTAGTGCTTTTTAATGTGAATCTAAATTAATCAAACACCACAATAAATATTGAACTCCAAATAAGAGAAACCAATTACTAACTTAGTGAAAATAAATAGTTTTAGTTGTTTTTAGTCCTTTCAAGTTTATGAGGCTGCACCAAACTCATTCTTTTTTCAAATATATATTTTAAGATTACCAAAGGAGAAACACAATAGACAAAAATTAAGTTTAAATCATTGTGCAAAACAATATTTATATAGTGCAGGACGAGACGTAAGTCACGATACATAAAAATCATCCCTCTATAATTGTCCTCTTGTCAATAGCACTATATATTGTCAAATAAAAATACACTATGTAAAATAAATTTCTTTAATTAAATAATTTGAAAAGAGGAAAAAGAGAAACGCTATGATGTACACATATAATAAGACGAACTTTTTGTTGCTTTAAATAGAATTTCTAAATAATTATTGTTGTTGAATTCCAATCTAGAGGAGGGACAGATTCAGTAGTAGATTAAATACAAGAACAATTATTTGTCTGCGATGTTCTTGTCCCATAAAATACCTTTAAAAGATATTCAAAATATCTAAAGATTTCATTACTTTTTAAGAAAGTTACACAGTTGATCGCTTGGTCAAAAATGTAAACCAATATACATATATTATTATACACACATAAATATCTTATATATAAGCACAATTGAATTATTTATAACACTTATTCAGTTATTTGTAAAAAAAAATATAAAAATATATATTATAATGTTACATTTTATATTGAACTTTATTTACATTAAAGTAACTAAAATATTTTTTGCGATAACATAGTCACTCAAGTTCACCTAAATGCATATGCGCATGTGGTATTCACGTGCGAATTTACGGGAACTCAATGAGTTTAATTTTATATAAATCAAACATATATATATAGAGAGAATTGAGTAAATGTATATAAATTTTGAACTATCGTAAACTCAATTATTATTACATATCAATTTAAGATTGCTATTAGAACCTATAAACTTAAAAGAAATCAACATATAGCATAATATATATATATATATATATATATATATAAAATTCTAATCTAACTAAACA